TCAGAACACTGTTTTCATGTTATGATAACTGTGGTTTAGATCATCCCTAAGGCAAAGCTTTTAAGGAAACCGTCGACCCTATTCTACACATATCAACAAAAAGATCATAGTAGAAAACCTAATCAGTCTTGATGACACCTTTTTAACCATAGTTTGTCAATCATCATTTACTAAAGAAATATGGAAGTGTTTAACTTGGTATTGATAAAATGTTTCGACAAATCACTCTATCAAATTTACCATTCACACGGAACTCATAGTTGACTGCAATGATTACAATATCACTTATGTGCACTACTACTTATCTACGAGTTATTATGAGCCTCTCTAATCTTGTCGAATTCTTTACATTGAAGACTATTACATCGACTATTTAGTTATGAATGAGTGCATAAGTGTCTGTGACAACTCATATACACACATTAGGTATGTGATCTGTCGAGATCTTGAGATTTTTACAGATTTATCAATTAGAGTGCTAAGAACACTGTTTTCATGTTATTATTTGTGAATTCATCTCCAACACATACCACATAGTTATCTCTACGTTAATTTACACCGTCGGAAAGTTCGAGAAAGTTTTTATGAATATTCTTTTCTGAGTCTTTAGCTAAGAAAGGGCATCTTGACTTGGTGAAGCGTATACAAACTGGTTTGTCTAATGATGCTATGGATTGTGTGCCGTATTATAATATATAAGTGAATGTGCATTATGACGAAGTGAGTGTGAACACGCAGTTAATAAATATGAAAAAGAGTTCAACGTCTGTGTCGATGTTGTGTTATCTGAAAGCAATTAAAGAGTGGTTTGTATTAGATATCGGAACGTTCTGAACTATGGTTTAAGCGCTTTGTGGCGTTAAAAGAATCAATGAATTTTTCGCAACCGCAAATGGAATTATTTTCATGCATGGGTTCAATTCAGTTGATAAGACAATGTTTGTCAGACAAGCCGCCTATTATCTGTGGTCATACATGGCCTGAAAAATTAGAGAACTGACCAATTTTGTTTGTCCCTTCGACATATACATACATAAACACATATTTGTAATATCAGGCACATTCCGAAAGAGTGATCTATTACTGTAAAGTTCCGTCCATAACTCGTATTAAACTACAATTGACATTCTGTCAACAGGACCTTTTTCACATGTTTGATATCATTGGAAATGGATTGGAGTGAATCTATTTTTGCTGCAAAACTAATTTACGATTGTTCATAAAAAGCTTTAATAATTGTCTGAAAGACTAAGACAAACTCCAGTTGCAAATGGTTCAGTGTTGACGCTAAAGTATGTAAGCTACGAAAAGCTGGAATTCAATATACAAAGCAGGAATCTTATCTCACGAAAACAATTGATGTATGCAACCACCAAATCTTGATTCAAAGAATGTGGAACGAGTGTGATGTCGGTGAAGATAACTGTGGTTTAGATCATCCCTAAGGCAAAGCTTTTAAGGAAACCGTCGACCCTATTCTACACATATCAACAAAAAGATCATAGTAGAAAACCTAATCAGTCTTGATGACACCTTTTTAACCATAGTTTGTCAATCATCATTTACTAAAGAAATATGGAAGTGTTTAACTTGGTATTGATAAAATGTTTCGACAAATCACTCTATCAAATTTACCATTCACACGGAACTCATAGTTGACTGCAATGATTACAATATCACTTATGTGCACTACTACTTATCTACGAGTTATTATGAGCCTCTCTAATCTTGTCGAATTCTTTACATTGAAGACTATTACATCGACTATTTAGTTATGAATGAGTGCATAAGTGTCTGTGACAACTCATATACACACATTAGGTATGTGATCTGTCGAGATCTTGAGATTTAGCAGTTTTTTACTAAATGTCAAACATTTATCAGGTGTTCTTCCGCTTCTTCAGTTTTCTTTCATCAGGTTTTCACTAACTGTTAAGTTTGTCTTACATTGTTCCTAATCGCTCTCCTTCCACTTCTTTGTTTATTGCTTTATACTACTTATTCATATTCAGTAAGCAGTTGTATACTTAACAATTTTCACATTTACATTGTAACGCAAGTTGTACTGTAACATTCGGAAACGTTCCCATATATTTATGATGTTTATTGTACTTATCATTGTATTTGTCATTGTAATTACTGTACTTTAATTACTTTAACGGTTATCCACAGTTGCGGATTTGTTTAAACACAACAGTTTCCATATTGTTTGCTCTTGGTTCGAGTTTCGATTGTTCATAAACTGTTGTCCGATTTCGACACAGCCATCGGCTGTCTTTGTACTATGGAAGCCTTTACTATTTCATTCTTGAAAGATGCGTTAAACGCCTAGACACCTCACAAGTTGAGGTTTGTAATTAAACTTTGTGTTTATATAATAATAGAACCGCTTTTGTAGACAAATCGTTGTTTTGGAACTTCGATTTTGCGCGTATCTCAATCGGGTCATTTGGACGCTTTGATAGACTTAACAGTTCTCAACTTTGGTTTCATTTGTGTGGATACAGTTCTGAACGGTGACAATAATGATGATGATGAGGCGGATGATTAAGATTATGTCTATGATGAGGTTTGTGACGATGATGTTGATGATGATGATGAATTACATGAGACTGATGAATATAATCCTGATAATGTGGATGATGATAATGATGATGAAGTATATGAGACTGATGAATATAATCCTGATAATGTGGATGATTTTGATGTTGTGAATGATGATGTTAATAATAATAATTGTATTATTTATGATAATAATTTGTTTAATCTAACTAATCGTTTCAATATCCTCCTCGACGGAACCTTTTGCTTCTAAACAGTTTATGAAGGCTGAAGTTTTATCAAGTTGACCTGTCGGTCCAAATAAAGCCCATCCTAACATAGTTAGTGATGCATAGGGTTGTTTAGGTTTCCCGATACGCTGATCGATAACCCAGTGGGCCTCTGGAACGTCAACACCAAGTAACAAACCAACCTTGTCACAAGCTATGGTGGGTAGCTGTACACCTTTCAAGTGTTTCCATCTTTCTTGGAAGTCCGTTGGTGGAATTTCTGCCCTTTTAATAGGTAGGTTGTTTATAGCATATGCACCTTCGATTTTGATTCGATTAGTCTTCTCTAAAGATTCGATTTCGAAATTAATAAGTTCAGCGTTCTGAGATGACGCTCCAATTGCAGAAGATATGTTCAATCTTGTCACTGTACCTGAAATTCCTACCTGCTTTGCCACATCACTAAGCAGTAGTGTCGAGTCTGAGCCATTATCCAATAATGCATAGGTATCCACATGTCCTGTGGGACCATGTAACCTGACTGGCACAAATCCTAAATACGTTCCAGCAGAATAAGTAGGATTACAGCATGTTTGTTTAGCATCAGGTTCTGTGTTGTGAAGAATTCTATGATGACGTCGCTTGCAGCCATCAATTTCACACAACACGGATTGCCGACAGTCTTTTGGTCGATGACTGGGTTTTAAACAATTAAAGCAAAGTTTAAACTTCTTCAGTAATTCTAGCCTTTCGTTGTGTCTTACTGCTAGCAGTTGTGGGCAAGATACGACTTCGTGGGTATCAGAGCAAATTACATAATGAACTTTTCCTTTACTCGACCATGTATGGATCGTAGCTCTAATAGAAGCAGACCGGTTGTTCGATGTCGTTTGAGCTTTGTAGCTCCCACTTGCTAACTGTCCATAAGTGTTCGCGGCGATTGACACTTTCTTTTTCAAGAATTGCAACAAATCATCAAAATTGGGTTCTAGCCCTCTTCTTAGAATATCGTCTGCAACTTCCGCCCATTTAAACTGTATACTTAGTGGAAGTCGTCTCATTATTCGTTTTAGATTGGTCGAACAATTCAGATCGGCATTTCTGCCCATCTGTGTCAAGGCTATCTTACAGTTAGTCATGAGTCTTGTTAATTTCCGTAGTCCAGATACATCGTCTTGATTTAGTGGCGTTCCATTTAACAATTCTGTTAAGAACGCTTCTACTATGTCATGTGGTTTGCCAAACTGTTCGTATAAAATGCTAATAGCTTTGGTATAACCTTCTCTTTCTGGTAATAAAACGCAGTACTCGATAGCGTCCTTAGCTGCGCCTTCACAATAATGTATCAGGTACATTAATTTCTGAGTATCATCCTCTACTCTGTCCGCAATGTTAGCCTTGAATCCCTTTATGAACGTCCAAAATTTCAAAGGACTTCCATCAAATTTCATAACCTCTATCTTAGGTAAACTGGCTGTCATAACTAGTGACTTGATACTATCCGCTTGTGCTTTGAGTTGCACCGCTTCGTTCAAATGTGCAGTAGTGTATCGGCGGCTTAACGGGGCTGCTGGTGTTACGTCCCCAGATCGAGACCCCAATGACTCGTTAATCTCTATTGCTTTTCTCACTTGGCTTAAAGAGTTCGGGGTTAACTCTAACAATCGTTTGCGTAGTTGAAGTTCTCTAACTCAATCTTTTCTACTTCCTTTTCCCTAGAAACGACTCCGTCTTCTATGCTACATCTAGTCTCTACATAGTCGTCCATTACAGAACAGCTGTCTTTGGGGTTAAGTAAAACATTATCAAGAGCAATATTTAAAGAAATAGGTGAATTCACCTTAGAAACTGAAGGAATGACATTTTCAGCATTAGAATTGTCTGTGTCTTGGGAACTGTCATCGTTGTACTTCATCATTCTCGTTTTCGTCATCGTTGGGATGAATGAACCAGACTCGATTCCGACCAAATTAGTTACAGCAAGTATCTTCACCAATTAGGACCAAAGTTCAGAACTGTATCCACACCAATGAGACCAAAGTTGAGAACTGTTAAGTCTATCAAAGCGTCCAAATGACCCGATTGAGATACGCGCAAAATCGAAGTTCCAAAACAACGATTTGTCTACAAAAGCGGTTCTATTATTATATAAACACAAAGTTTAATTACAAACCTCAACTTGTGAGGTGTCTAGGCGTTTAACGCGTCGTTCAAGAATGAAATAGTAAAGGCTTCCACAGTACAAAGACAGCCGATGGCTGTGTCGAAATTGGACAACAGTTTATGAACAATCGAAACTCGAACCAAGAGCAAACAATATGGAAACTGTTGTGTTTAAACAAATCCGCAACTGTGGATAACCGTTAAAGTAATTAAAGTACAGTAATTACAATGACAAATACAATGATAAGTACAATAAACATTATAAGTATATGGGAACGTTTCCGAATGTTACAGTACAACTTGCGTTAC